CTCCAGAGATGGGGAACTCACCAACTCTGGGCAACGTGTGGCAGTGCTTCAATATCCTCATCATGAAGCAAAACAAAACAGAACAGAACAAGCCTTTTCCTTATATCCAATTTAAATCTCCCCTCTTTCAGTTTGGAGCTGCTTCCCCTTGTCCCGTTTCAACAGACTCTGCTGAAGACTCTGTCCCCTTCTTTCTCATAGCCCCCCGTCAGACATTAAAAGACCACTCTCAGGTCTCCCCTCAGCCTTCTCCATGCTGAACAGCCCCAGCCCTCTCAGCCTGTGCTCCTGGGGAAAGCGTCCATCCCTACGAGCATTTCTGTGGCCCTTCCCCAGACATGCTCTAACAGATGCACATCTCTCCTGCACTGAGGACTCCCCATCTGGATGCAGTGCTCCAGGTGAAGTCTCACAGCACAGAAGGGCAGATCCCCTCCCTCGCCCTGCTGGCTGCGCTGCTTTTGATGCAGCCCAGGATCTGGTTGGGTTTGGGCTGTGAGGGCACAGTGCTGGCTCATGTCCAGCTGCTCATCCCTCAGCTTGTACTGATGGTAGGGGCTGCCACGTCACCGGTGCAAAACCTTTCACTGGGCACTGCTGAACCTCGTGAGGTTCTCCTGGGCCCACTGCTCAGCCTGTCATCATCCCTCCGGATGACATCCTGTCCCTCGGGCATGCTGACCACAGCACACAGCTGGGCATCATCACGTATTTCCTGAGGGCACACTCAATCCCACTGTGAATAATGAAGACACGAAATCACGTCAGTCCCAGTGCTGACCCCTAATGGACACCACTCATCCGTTGGTCTCCATCCGGACATTGAGCCGTTGGCCGCTGCTCTCAACCAGTTCAAATCAGTGCCTGCCCCTCTGCTCCCCTCACCAGGAAGCTTTAGGCCACCGTGATTCCTCCCCTCGGCCTCCTCTGCTCTGGGCTGAACAAACCAAGAATCTCAGCCACCCCTCACACACGTTGCCCTCCAGATCCTTCACCATCTCTGCAGCCCTGCTTTGGATGCTCTCCAATAGCTCTATGTCCTTCTCATACTCTGGCACCCAACCTGCCCCCAGTGCTCCAGGTGAGGCTGCACCAGGGGGACACTGCCTTCCTTCTCCCAGCTGGCAGTGCTGGGTCTGGTGCACCTCAGTGTACGGTTGGCCCTTCTGGCTGCCCGGGCATGCTGCTGGCTCAGGTTCAACTCTGTCATCCAAAAACCCCAGATCCCTTTCCACAGGGCTGCTCTCTAGCCTGTCCTCCCCCGGTCTGTATGCATATGCAGGCTTGCTGTGTCCAACATTCATATTCTCTAATACACACGATACCATGAGATTCACGGTCCCATGAGAATATGCACGAGAACACGAGGTTCCCCTGGGCCCACCGCTCGCTCAAGTGGACACCGCTCCATTCAGACTCCCGCCTCCCGCAGCTAAAACCCGAGAAGAAAAACGAACGCTAGGGCTCCCAGGCCGCAGGCCCAGATCCTCCGAGCCGCAGCGCTCACCGTCAGCACGCTCTCGAAGTCCTCCCCGTCCCGGCGGCACCGCCGCTGGATGAGCTCCACCCCCAGGAAGATGTCCCCGAGGTTGTACTCGTCGCGGCTGCGCGGCCGCGGGAGCTCGCCCGGCGCCACCCGATGGTAGGGGAAGGACAGCACGTCGGTGGGCTCGGGGCGCCGGCGGTACGCGCCGTTCAGCCGCCTCATCAGCCCGTCGCCGGCGCAGATCAGCGCCACGTCGAAGCGCGCGGCGCCCAGCGCGGCCCGCAGCGCGCAGACGGCGCGACGGAGCGGCACCCGGCGCAGAGGCGCTGCGCGCTGCGCGTTGCGGATCAGCACGCTCATGGCGCCGGAGCTCCGCCCGCTCGGCCCGCCTCGGCCCGCCGGCGCGTGCGCGGGGCCGGCCCGCCGCGGAGAGGGGAGGCCATGAACGCCAGCGGTCCGTTCCGCGGCCCTCCCGCCTTCCCGCCGCGCTTCGGCCAGGCCGCCGCGCCGCCCTTCGTCCCCGCGCCGCCCTACGGGCCGGGCCGGGCGGCGGGCAACGCGGGCTTCAGCTTCAAGCCGCCCACCGACCTGGGCGGCCTCCCGGCGCCAGGCGACGCGGCGGGCGGGGCCTTCGCGCCGCCGGAGTTCCGCTTCAAGGCGCCCGACGGCCCGGCCGCCTTCACCTTCTCGCCGCCCTTCGGCTTCGCGCCCGAGGCGGCTGGACACGAGCCGCCGGCGCCCGCCGCCGGCTTCTCTTTCTCGCGGCCCGCCCCGCCGCTCGGCCGCCCCGAGGAGGGCGCCGCGCGGCCGCCGTTGAACGCCGCGGAGGAGGCGGGCGAGGCGGTGCCGAAGGGGCTGAAGCGGAAGGAGGAGCGGGAGCGCTCGCCGCGGCGGACGGCGGCGTCGGGCGGGCGGGTGGCAGCGCCGCCGGAGAAACGCGCCGTGCTGCTGAGCCGGCCCCGCGGCGGGGCCCTGTTCGGCCGCACACTGCAGGAGGTGCTGCGCAGCCAGGGCCGCGAGCGCGGGGAGCCCGAGCGGGGCGCGGCCGAGGAGCCGGCGGCCGAGGGCCGGGAGATGCCGCACCCGGCGAGGCTCGGGCCGGCGGACGGCGCTCCCGTCGCTCCGGCGCGCAGAGCGAGGGGCGACGATGGCACGGACGGCCTGAGCGGCGCGGCGCCGGGCGAGCTAACGGCCATCCAGTGCAAAAACGTCCCCGACTACCTCAACGACAGGACGGTGCTGGAGAAGCACTTCGGGCAGTTCGTGAAAGTCCGCCGGGTCATGACGCGCAGGAATAAGAAGACGGCCGTCGTCCACTTCTTTGACCACGTAAGTTTTGGGGGCTGGCGGCGAGGGAGCGGGGGTTAACCTGAGTGCCGCAGCCTGGCGCGGGGCCGGGCTGGATGTTAGGAAGTAACTGTCGTCCGGAAGGGTGGTGGGGCGTTGGAACAGGCGGCCTGGGGAGGTGGTGGAGTCACTGCCCTCGGAGGTGTTCGGGAAGACTGTGATTGAGGCGCCGAGGGACGTGGTCGGTGTGGCACGGTGGGTTGACGGTTGGACTGGATGATCTTAGGAGTCTTTTACAGCCTTTGTGATTCTGTGATTAGTGCGCAGTTGAATGCCAAATGCGGTAGCATCAAGGGCAACACTATCTTTGCAGGGTGATCCGCTTGTTGGGAATGTTGCTGCTTTGGTGAGGCCTGTAGTCCCGTGTGTTCTGCAGTCTCTTAGAAAAGTAATGTGTTGTGGAACACACCCAGCCCCGTCAGTTGCATGGATGTCTCAGGCAGGAGGTTGTGAAGCACTGGCACAGGTTGACCAAGGAGGTGGTCCATGCCCCATCCCTGGAGACATTCAAGGTCAGGCTTGACTGGGCTCTGAGCACCTGATCGAGCTGTGGGTGTCCCTTTTCATTGTAAAGGAGATGAACTAGATGGCCTTTAAAGGTCCTTTCCAACTGAAATGATTCTAGGCTAAAAGACAGCGCCTAGAGGTCTGAGTGTTGGTACATGTTTCTCCAGCAGAAGCTGTCCTTCCTTGTGCTAACAGCTCTTGAGTTCCGCTTTGTTTTCTTTCAGGCCTCTGCAGCCCTCGCCAAAAAAAAGGCAAAAGAATTGCACAAAGACATAGTGACATTTTGGCAGAAGAAGAAAACAAGTAAGTCTTGTGTTTCTTGATGTGATGAGCAGGTGATGCGTGGTACAGTGGGTAATGGCACAGATACTGGGGAGAGAGGGAGGATATTTTAAAGCATGTAGTTGCATACAGAATTATTTCTCTGCCTTCACAAAATGAGAATAGCTCCCAGGAAGCCTAGGAGCCAGGAAGGGGGCTATCCCCAGCCCTCTGCTTGAGATTCAGGCAAAAGGAGATGCTGGTGTTGGCTATTCATCTCCCCAGGTGAGTATTTGAATTGCCAAGTGCTTCCCTTTAATTTTATGAATCAGAGTTTGTAGCTCTAAGTTCCTGGCTTGAAGATATGTTTCAGAATGAGTGAATGGCTTGCCACAGCTTTGACCAACCCAGGAACTTAGTTTCACAGCAAGAGAGCAGCTGTAGAGTTGTTTTCCTGAGAAGAAATATCTCAAAGCAACAGCTTTAAGGACGCTTTTGTCATGTTATTTTGGCATTAAGGTCTACAGAAACCTGGATGGCAGTATTCTATAGTAACTAATCTGAGAGAGTGTGAGAAATCCAGCTGGCTGAGAATTTGTTCTTTTTCTTTTCGACTTAACTCTTGAAGAGGCATGTCAACCCCAGCCTGAGCTTGGGATGTGTGAATTGTTCAAGTACCTCAGGAGCACTGAAAATGTTGTGACAGTCGTAGTTTTTGTTGGTAAAACAGATTAAATACCAGGTGTTCTGTTTTTTGTGGTTTTGCATCAGTTTGTCACGGAGCAAGGCTGATCCAGGCCACCGGGTATTGGGCTGTGAGTTTTGAGTTATAACCCAAATTCAAAAGAACTAAAATTTGATGCCCAGACTTCATTTACTGGCAATGTGCTGAGTAATTGCATTTACTGCTTAGCAATGTTTTATTCAAGAATGCTTTTCCTTTATGGAACTCTAAAGCTAACCAGAAATTAGTGGGCGTCATTGGTGCAACTTCCAATGCAGGCTGTCCTATTAGTGTTGTGTGCATCCATGAGGTTGTAACTGGAATAATATTATCAGAAAATAAAGTCAATTACTCACTACGCCGCTGGGGAGTTGAGGCAAAAAGCTGTTGTGAAAATTATTTGCTGAGTACCTGTCCTGATGTTTATATGTCACTTTAGGCCCAGCAAAAAGAGAATTTTCATCCAAGGAGAAGAAAGCAAGTGAAGAGGAAGGAAGGCAAAGCAGTGAAGAGCAAAACTACCAGCATTCCCCTCTTCGAAAACCTTTAATAAGATCTTCTGCCAGCGCTGCAATGCCTGGTAGAAGGTATGTACGAGTGTTCTCTAAGAATCTGTCAGGATGGATGGGCAAAAGTGATCAGTGTGTGCTGAGTAGTGATGTTCTTAGCAAGAGAGTGTGCTTCTTCTATCTGCTGGCACACATTCATTTTAAACATGTGGCTTTTTGGCTGAATTGGAGTTACAAATCTCACATTTTGTCAGATGCTTCTGACTGCATATTAAGGCTTTTTATTTCTTCAGTCTTCTTTTTTTTTTTTTTTTTTAAAGCGTTTTTGTTTGTTCATTTTTTACAACATAAGAAACAGCTATAACAGTGAGGCATAAGAAAATGGTGAAAAACAGTGCAAAGCTCTCGTAAGGCCAAGCAGTGACTGACTGTGTTGGGTGGTCTTGGTTAAACTGGTTTCTGAAGTGAGTGGTTTCATTCGTTGACAAAAACGGATCTGTGGAATTAGTCCTCTTTTCAGAGAAGCTATGAGTTAGATCGTTGTATTTTTGTACTTAGAGAATGGGCTTTATGCAGGAGACCTGCTTTATGCCAGGTGCTGAAGCTGCAGGCTTTTTTTTGTACCTTCTTCTGTAGCACCTTAATGGTTTGCCTAGTTGGACAGTGATTATTTGGTGTGTGTTGTCATGCACTTACAAGCAATATGCTTGGTTTTAGCTCTCCAGCAAAGAAGCCTGGTCTTCGAAAGGCTCTGCAGTTTGAAGTAGATCTGTTCGATTCTGGTTCTGAAGGACAGAACTCAGAAGCCATGGGAGCTTCGTTGTCATCTCTGAGTAACCTGGTAGGATTAGTGGCAGAGACATCTGAAGAAAGATACCGTCTTTTGGACCAAAGAGACAAAATCATGCGACAAGGTACTGTTCTTATTCTTGTGTTCTTACCCTTCACACCTTTCTGTTGGGGTAGATTGTTGTATACACTCATTTCTTGTATAGCAACAAAATCTGTGTGTTTTATTGCACACATATATTTATGTATGATGAATAGCAAATTGTTCATCTTTGAATGAATTCCTGATTATTTTTGAGTGTATTTTGACAGTGTTGTATTGGCACAAAACACTATATTACTAACGGGTAGAAAATTAGCAGGGACAAGGACTTATTTGCCTTCTTTGTTCTGCAGTCCTCATCAGTTACAAGGTCAATTAAGCCACCCCAAGTAACTGTGCCATCATGCGTACCTGGCTTGTAAAACACGGGGTCACGGTTTTCTTGATCCTGGAGGATGCCACATAGGGCAGTTTTCACCTCTGCAGGTTCTTTCCAAGAAAGCTGACCAAAGGCTAGCAGCATTTCTCTAAAAGAACACTATTAAGTAAAGCTGGTCATTATTTCAGGAAATATTTGCTTGTTTCACTATTCTGATTTGTAAATTATTTCATCCTATTCCTGTTCTTTCAAAGCTGATTTTATTAACATTTTGTTTTTTAAAATCAGCAAACATTTGTTCTCACTTGGCATGGAATTGGTGGTGCTTGGTTAGAAGGTAAAACAGGATAGGCTTTTGGGATACAAAGCATCAGGTGTCTCTTACAGACTGACATTTTCAGCAAGAGTCTCGATATCCATGGGACAGTATGAGAAGCTTCTCCAGAGGAGCAGTGCAGACCTGGGATAGGTCCTAGCACAGGGGAACTCCATCCTTGTGTATTTCCAGCTGATCCTGCTCCAATGGGAGGCTGTTGGGATCCCTTATAGATCCTGTCACATCAGCTTTTCTGGGAACCCTTACCTTTGTCGGAGTGCTTCTTGACATCCATCCATTGCCCAGTGTTCAGACTGAGGCAGATGCTGCTGTGGGCTGCACATTAAGAAATAGTTAGTCATGAAAACAAAAAGACAGATGCTTAATGTTACACTTTCATTTTTTTTTTTTTAATTATTTTTTTATTTTTAGCTCGAATAAAAAGGACTGATCTTGGAAAAGCAAAAACTATTGTTGGCACTTGT